GACACCTGGAGAGTGCGAGATGGCCTTTGTCTCAATAGCCTTCTTTTTGGCAGACTTCTTATTTACTGTTTTCTTTTTTTTTTGAGTAATTCAGCTGTTGAAATGGTTTCCAGATAAATAGAAGCTTAAGGTGCTATTAATCATGAGGAGTCATGATGCTTTTCTTTTGTAGTTTGGCTCTTAGACAAATCTGTTTCACCAAACTTTAGCAGTCTGAGTCATTTGTCACGCTTTTTGACTGTGTGGCAGTGGAATAATGCTCAAATTCAGGGTCACAAAACTAACACTCTGATGCTAAATTGGACATTGTGTCAAAGATGACAAGCACAGATGTTGGAAGAAGACACTGTTCTTTCTGACTTTACAGAATTTTTCCATTTGTCATGCATGTCATGAAACAAGAGCCTTCAATTAGTAGTTCTGAAACAACATATTCCAGAACTAATGATGCAGAGGTGGAGGGGAAAGCTAACCCTCTCTGTACAGAAGAACTGAAAAATGTATCTTTCAAAAATTGGATGGAACAGAAACAAGCTCTTCTGTTTTCTTCAGTAACTGTGAGCTAAGGAGGAAAGGATTGTCTTATCAGGAGATTTGTCTTCGTGTGGAAAAAGGGGTTAATTTTTGTATGTTTGTTTGGTTTTTGTTCCCCCTCCCCAGTCAACCAAAAGTTCTGTCACTGCAGTTTCACATGTGATAAACCAGAAAAGGTTAACACTTTAATCCCAATTTTGTGAACCGCTGGTGTAACATGTAGTAAAGTAAACTGTCTCTAATTGTGAATACTTTACAGGGAGCGTACTCTTATAACCATGTCTATACTCCTTCTGACGTCCAGATGGTGATTGAGTATGCCCGGTTAAGAGGCATTAGAGTTATCCCAGAATTTGATACCCCAGGACACACACAGTCCTGGGGAAAAGGTATGTCCAAAACAGTGTTAATGGTTAAAAGATTGTGGTAATAAGGGTACAGTAAGCAAATGAACTTCTTTAAAAGCAGCCTTTAAAGTACTTTGAAAGGCCCCTAATAAGAGATACACAAGGGGCAGGCTTAGTGGTGGTCATGACCTTTATGCATTAGAGGTACTACAGTGAGTGGAGAAAGCTGATGCTTCCTGTGCTGGCTGTGTGTGCAAAGGCACAGATACATTTTCTCTGCCTTTGACTTCATGTTGTAACTCTCCATACAGTACTCTTGAGTTTAGAGTAGTAAGTCTAGAAATAGTGGCTAGAAATAGTGAGTTGCTGTCTCTAGAGCAGAGATTTCTGCTTTGAGAAGGTTCTATTAGTAGAGTAGTAATCTACCAGTATGCAAAATAGCAAAGCTTGATGCTGCTTCACTCTGTCTTCTGGTTTCAGAGTAATACTTCTCATTAGAGAATGCTTGAATCCTGAAAGTGGTGGTGGTTACATGTACTCAAGGAGGAGGGAACCCTGTACCTCAATTCAAGCACTGACTGTGATTTTACTGCAATTCATGTAAGATAGTTTTGGCCAGACTGGAAATAGTAAGGATTTTTCTAGTGCTTCATAGTTTTAGCTTTAGCCATGGGGCAGGTCTTGTGCTCATCCTGCAGGGATGTGGCCATTATGTTGAAAGATGCCTCAGACTCTTTCTCACTGACTTAAAATGAGGAGGAAAGGAATAAGACAAAAACTAAATTTACTAAGCAGTGTTTCTGAATCCTTCATATCACATGATCTTTGCTGTTACAGAGCACTAACAAAAGCCAGTGGTTTGCCTGGTGATATATGAGGTGCTCTACATACATATTTAGAGCAAGGTTCAGCTCCCTGCCCTAAAATTCAAGATACTGGAGAGAAGGGAAAGGTAGTGGAACAAGTGTGAGGAGGGTAGTGGAACAGTCTACCACTAGGACCATGTTTGGGGGGAAATGTGCTCAAAGTAGGAAACACACAGCTAGGAAGGTTCTGGTGCTTGCTACTACAGTTTACCAAATTAATTGGACTTGGGACTCTCCAACCTACATATAATTTTTCCCTGTTTTTTGTTATCCTGATTTGTGCTGCTTCAAATATCTTGACTCAGGAACCAGTGCTTAGTTTTGATGTCTGTTTAGCATTCCTTTCTTGTGTAGAGGTAAATTTGTAGCAGAATGAGGTTGGAAGTCTACCTTGAGCCATATAATCTCCCACCTACTTAGGTGTTAACAAAGCGAGGTAATACAAAGAAAACGGAGGCCTCTGGAGCACACTCATTATATTTGGCTTCCTTCTATTTGGCTTCCTTCCTGAATCCATTAAAGCTTTTATATTCAAGTAGTCATCCAGAAGCTGTTTGCCAGGTATAGTGATATGTTCCATAAATTTGTGTGTGTAAAATCACAAATCTAAAAGTCAAAGTCCTCATTTCCAGTTAGAGGGTTCTTCAGCTTGGGCAAGTTGTTTTATTTTGTTCTGTGTCTCTTTTATTATAATTAGAATAGATGAACAGTTAACGAATGAATATTAATGTTTTTAATATGGGTAGCAGCCTCTTCCTGCTAGCAAAGTTAGCATACCAACATGGAACTGAATATCGTCTATTAATTGTTTCTATTAGGTCAAAAAGATCTTCTCACCCCTTGTTACAGTGGAGCACAGCCAACTGGGTCCTTTGGACCTATAAATCCCATTTTGAATACAACTTACGACTTCATGACTAGCTTCTTCAGAGAGGTCACCAGTGTATTTCCAGATGCATACATTCATTTGGGAGGAGATGAAGTGGACTTCAGTTGTTGGTATGGTGATGGTTCAAAGGATAAATATTTAGTGCCTCTTAAACTTGCATAAATCCATCAGTTATGGAACCGAGTTGTATGAGAGAGTTTTCACTGCTTAACCCAAAGATTCCTACTCTTACTTCTGTAACTCTGCAGGCAGAGCATTTGTGATCTTCAACAAGCAAGTGATGATGTGCAGAATTTTACTTTAGTAGTTTCAGGTGCTCTAAAGGATTTCTTTATTAAAATTAACCTGACAGGAAGAAGAGCTAGTATGGTAGAGAAGTATTATATAAGATAATTAACATTTAAACTCTTTGTGTTAAAGGAAAAGCTGTTTTTCACATTGACTTCTGTCTTCCAGAAGATCTGCTAACATAAAGTATTTCAATACTGACTCTTTTGTGCCTGTATTAAAAGTGTGGCATGTATTAATAGAGTTTTTCAGTTGGTTGTGGATTTTGAATATGTTGAAGTCTCTCTGCTGGAGTAACTAAAAATACAGAATTTGGAGCACATCTAAGTGGATGAGGTTTCAAATTCTAGTTAGTATTTGTGCATTCTCTTGATTTCAAATCCGAACACTCAGGAGTTACTTTAATTTTTAAAAAGAAATAAACCATTTGTCAGAAATTTTCTGACAAAAGTGTTGGTTTGCTTATGGGCTATTTTCCCAAATTCTTTATGTCGCTCCTGCAGATCCCCTGGTACTACGGCTGCTTTGTTTCCAGACTTGCTGGCAATCTTCCCACAAAGTCACGGAGCAGCCAGAGCTTGTAGGAGCTTGAAGCTGCCTGCCAGAAACTGCTTCAAAACAGGGACTCCAGTAGTTCTAACAGAGAAGTAGGGCTATTGGCTTTATTTCAAATCACGATGAAGCTGTTTCAAAATACCTAAATCATGTTACCCTGCTGCTGCTGCTCTGTTGTGCATTCCAGGCTCTGTTGTGCCTAAGGCATCAGATAGTATGCTGTGCATAGGTGGAAATGGTTGGGAAATCTAAAAGAAAACATTTTTTTTTAAACTTGTTTTGTTATTACTATTCAAGGAAGTCTAACCCTGACGTGCAAAAGTTCATGAAGCAGCAAGGATTTGGCATAGACTATGCTAAACTGGAATCTTACTATATTCAGAGGTGTGTTGTTTTTTTAATTCTTGCTCAGCTTTTCACAGCCACTATCTGAGGGTGGTATTGAGGTGCAGATACTGAAGCTGGTTTAGTTTGGCCTACATTGTTTTCAAAATTTGCCACATACTGAGGACTACCCACTTTCTTTTATTTTAGTACATTGAATGTAAAGTTCACAGCTTTAAAATGTGGGACACCACAAGGACATGCAGGCTAATTCTCTGCACACTCTGAATGTACTGGGTAACTTAAGCTGGCTATCTGCTGTAATGTCAGCACACAGGATGGGGAGGAAAAGTCATAAGGTTTTTGCAGCCATTTATTTCTCTTCTTAAATAACATGGATTTAGACACCTGTATGAGTTGATGAACATCACTTTGTGTTACTGCATGTGCATATTCTTATATGTGAGAGAACATCCTCTTCAAGGCAGAGCACGGAGGGCCAGAACCAGAAAAGCCTGGTTTGTATTGGTCCCCTATGCAGTACTGGGAGAGGCCTGATGTGCTTTAGGGTAGAAAATGTTGCTACTTTGTATGCCTCTACTGATCTCATTGAAGTTCATAAACATGATCTTATCTCTAAATTCTAGAATTTTGGATGTTGTTTCCTCCTATAACAAAGGATACATAGTCTGGCAAGAAGTGTTTGACAACAAAGCCCAGGTAAGATGGGAAAATAAGATACTTTTGCATAACAGCACAGTGTTGTGGGAGGCTTCCAAAGCAGACTATTACATAATTATGGTTGTGTCTTTTAAGAGTTACAGCAAGTCTGCTGACTTTAGCAAGTCTCCATAGGAGTGGGTCCTGCCTTGAAATTATCATTTATTGAACATGTTAAATAGGTGTAACAGGAATAAGTGGTTTCAGATAATACAGTACACTTTAGAGCATCAGCATAAACAGTAGGGAGGTCTCTGAGTTTCCATATTTAATTTTCTTTCTCACATAACTGTGCATTTGGTCTCGTAACACTAGGTGCTTAGCTTTTCAGAGCTGGTCAGAACTTTTTTTATTTCCAGAACTGGAGCATGTGGGAACCCTCTTATTAGGGTATTAACAGCCTACAGTATAACCTAGGTTTTGCTCTAGTGTGAACTCTGTTTAAAACCAGCAGAGAGATAATCAGCTTTAGACTGGGGAGGTGGTGGATAGCTGACAAACAATATCTTCCAAAATGTTCCTCTTCAAAACAAAACACCCAGTTTTGAAATCTATCATACTTTCCTCCAGATAGCAGCAATTGGGAGTGTCTTAATGTTTTGTGGGGTTTTTTTGTTTTGTTTTTCCTCCTTTTAGCTGAAACCAGATACTGTAGTTGAAGTGTGGATGGAAAACAGCTATGCTCTTGAACTGAGCCGTGTTACAGGAGCTGGGTTCACGGCTATCCTGGCAGCTCCCTGGTACTTAGACTACATTAGTTATGGGCAAGACTGGAAGAAATACTACAGTGTTGAACCACTTAACTTCCCTGGTTTGTTCCTTTTTTTTAATATGTGTGTTCTGTGCATAAAAGTATTTGGTTCATAGTAAGGTGTAAATGGAAAGAATAAGGCTATTTAAAGTGGTCATGTAGTCATTATCAGTTACACTGTAATCAAAGGACTTTAATGTCAGCTAGAACTCTGGAAAATTCTCAAATAAAAATGCAATTTTCCGCTTTTCACAGGGAAAAGTGTTACCTTCCTCAAGCACCTGGCACTGGTGCTTGTGTGAGTCAGGGTGCTGGACTGGGGGGACAGATGGATCACACATTAGGGGTAGAGTTGTGCAAAATGGCTGTTGGTAGACAGACACTGAATTTGCATGTTAAGCTTCTAGAGCATTAGACTGTTCAAGAAAAATACATGTTCTCTCCCTGTCTAAAGCTGCAGACCTCTCATGCTTTCCCTGGGTCTTTCATTTTGTGCAAGGTAACTCAGAGCTGATGAGGGAGAACACCGGACTTTGTAGCTTTTTCAAGGAATGTTGTGTGTGTGATAGAATGAACAGTCTCAATCAGGACTGAAATCTCTGAAGAAAGTCAGAAGGCTGTGGAAAGTTTTCAGAAGACAAAAGGTGAAGCCCTTTCTGAGAGAGAAGGGAAATGGGAATGGCCCAGTGGTTCTCACAGTCAGTAACAGGACTACAAGAATGTTATGTTTGTGCTCAAGATGGATATTTTATATCAAAACAAACAGCTGAACATGAATCATCTCTCAGTGCTGGAAAATGAAATTGTTGATATATGCCCATCTTCTGGGCAAATATAAATTTTAATTTTCTGTTTTTAATTTAGGAAGTGAAAAACAGAAAAAGCTTTTAATAGGTGGAGAAGCCTGCATGTGGGCAGAATTTGTGGATGCAACTAACCTCACACCAAGATTATGGTAGGAACTGCTTTATTTTTAGATTTTTAGAAAGCAAGCTACAAAAAGTGTTAATTAATCCAACAGGACTCTGTTAGTGATAACAGTGCTCTGTGCTGACCCTAAACAGTTACAAAAATTGATGCTTCTGGATCTTTACAGGCCTCGAGCAAGTGCTGTAGGGGAAAGACTCTGGAGCAGCAAGAATGTGACCAACTTGCAGGATGCCTATACAAGACTGACCAACCATCGATGCCGCATGCTCCGGTAAGATTAAAAGCTAAAGTAAAGCTTGGTTCTCATGCTTTATAACCAATGGAGTTTAAGTACAGGCCTAAACTGCTGGCCTGGAAATGAAGGGAGAAGAGCTAGCAGTCTAATCTGTCTATGTCATCTCATGTGTTTTTCTACTCACAGAAGAGTAGACAGGAGCTCTAGACAGTTTTTGCAAGTAACATTTCCAGAACTCATCAACTTTTTTCAGTGAAATACTAGAACTCATCTGTGCCTCTCTTACAGTCAGCACTTAAGACTCAAGCACTCTGCTCTAGTTCCTAGATCTAGTTCCTCTAGATGTCTCTGCATGATTCTGTCAGAATCACTGACTTTTAGCTTACAGTATAAACCAGCTCTTCAATCAGCTAAGAGTGACTGAAACACTCCTAAGTTTTGACTTACTGGGTTTATTTCAAGCAAGCTTAAAATAATGCTATAGGAAAATAACTATATGTAAATTGTGTTGTCTTCCTCAGTCCTGAGAAAAATTAGATACATTGAGAAAGAGTTAACAAATACATATTGAAAACAAGACTAAAGGGCTTTAAAAACTTATGTCCTATCACATAACTGGCTGGTGCATCTATTGATGGGGCTCAGAGAAAACACTGATACAACTGAAAATTAAGTGTGTAGTGGCTGTACCTCTAGGATTAGGGCTTTACAGTGAACTAAGCCATGCTATGGTTAACTTGCTGCATCTCCATCTTCTTCCTTAACTCTGGCACTTGTATTGCTGTATAGGGAGCTGATCCAGATTACTTCAACTGCTCTGGTAGTGCTAGCAGGAGAGATGCAGAATGCAGGGACAGACTAAGGATCATTCCCTGTACTTGTTGCACACTTTTTCCTCAAACTACTTGCTCCTGGTAAAACTGCTTTGCTGACATAAACTTCTATCAAACAATTCCTGCTATAAACAGACTACCTTAATATAAGCACATGTCCTCCTGAAAATGACTGTTCATATAGGTTTTGAACCAGAAAAATGCTAAAGAAACCATTCCATTTCCACTGATTAAATGAACATTCCTCAGATCTGCCAGTTCAGTTGCCTTTCATGTATACAGGGTTTCCTTAGCATTGTGTGAATTAGAAGAGCTGATTTAATCCATCAGGCTGTTGTAAAGTCTCAGAGCAAAGTACTGTATCCCTACTAACATTTTTATGCATGATACAGACCACTGGCCTGTAGCAGGCCAAGGAGCCTTTCCAAGTAGAATGAAGAGCTCTGGCTTGCTCTGCAGCTGGTTGCCAGGGAGTGAGGGAATGGGTAGGTACAACTTTGTAACAGCTCAATCATGGTCACTGCAAGAACAGTAGCTCTGCCTAGCCAAGGCCACTCCTGTTGAAATAATACCATGAAAGCAGTAGCTGCTATTCAGATCTAAACTCAGCTTCCTGTAGGATACAGCAGCCCAAATTGCAAAGAAATGGAGATGGGAGAAGGGAAACAAAAAGGTGGGCGTATATTCCAAAGCCCTAGAAAACATAAGAGTAGGTCTTGCTTAGGGGCAAACAATAGTTCAGCTGTGGTATTTCATTATTCAGTTTCTTCCACTGCCACTTTCAAGTGCAATTTAAACACACTATATATGTTATCCTACAAGTCAATGCAGCTGTACTCTCTAGCTCTTGAATATCCAAGAAGCAGAATTCTGACTACAACTGCTTTAACTCTGAATCATCTCTTTGTACTATTTCACTGCATCACCATAACCTACAAGGATTTGTTTTTAAAGCCACATGAGAGCTGGGAAAAAAGCTTGTTTACCAAAACTGGCTCTCCAAAAAAATGAATGAAAATGGTATACTTAGAGCTACATGTGAAGGAAATATTGGGGCTGGGAGCAGGAGTGTGCGAATGTCAACTGATTCATATTTTCACATTTTTATGAGGACTTTTCAATAAAAGCAATAGATTTTGCAGAACATCAAGGTAACTAGCCTCTGAATTTAAGCTTTTCAACCTGTTTTCTAATATCCTGGTACTGCTGATAGAAATGGAAAAACTGTACTTAACTGAGGTACAATCAGTAGGATTAGAGTAGGGCTCTTTTTCACTCCCTTAATAGGCCATCTGTTATTTCTTGGAAGTAGCTTTGTTTACACAAAGATTAAAATAGAGTGCCAGTATCTCTCTTCCTGCTTACACAGCCAGCCTGGTGTTTGATTATAATCACATACACTCCACTTTATTTTAACAGCCGTGGCATAGCAGCAGAACCTGTGTTTGCTGGATACTGCGCCCATGAAGCAAGAGGGTAGTAACTGCTGCAAAGACTTCTACTTAACAACCTGAAGTGCCTCTGGGGTATGTGTGTGTATATATATGTGTGTGTGTGTGTGTGTGTATATATGTATATATATATACATATACATATATGGAGTTTGGTATTTGAACCAAGACTTTTAAATTTTCACTTTAAAAATAAAGTTACTTGACATTCTTGTTGGAGTAAAAATGGTTTTTCAGCTTTCATTAGAAAGAGATTCTTCACTGTGAAATCCTGAAACTTGATACTGTAGAGAGACCAATTCCAGTTTACTTACATTCTCAAATGGAAGGGAAATAAAGCTAAGATACTGTATTTAAAAAGCAAACTGTCCTTTTACTTCAAATTACCTTATTTGCCACTTTTCTATATAACCAGGTAATTGCAAATGAGAACTGACTTTTAACACATAGCAGATCAGAACCATTGCAGCTTAAATCACTCATTCATAAAGGTCAAAAAAAAATCTTCCCTCAACAAACTCCAAGGTGGTAGGTAGGGATTACTGTGCTGGGAGAACTCTGCATTTCTTGTATTTTTTTGCACAGATTTTACTCAATTGCAGAAGCATCTCTTCTGCTTATTTGCTAAACCAAACTCAGATAGAAGTTACACACCCAGACCTGAACTCTGGTTTAAGTTGGTTTCTAACAATACAGGAAGTAACACTTAACAGTTGTACAGTTTAAAATGCTTATTAACCATATTCTTTTATTCAGCTGAAAATAAATCAAGATATAGACTGCCAAAACTGTGAAATTATTTCATTTATAGACATAAACTTCACAAACTTTACTTACTAAAGAAACAAACCTAATGGCACATTAAGGTGCATTTAGTGCTCATATCCATGAAGAGCATTTGCATCACTTCTCATTGTAGATCTCTTTAAGATAAGAATTTTCAAAACTGAATTGTGGCTGCATCTCTGGTTCAGCTGCTTTACAATTACAAGGCTGTGCCAGAAGAACAGTGTCTCTTGAGCCTTCCCTTGGACAGTTAAAAGCACAGGCTGCTCATACAGTAATAATTCATCATTTACAACAACTCACTGGTCCCAGATCATACTGATGTACATAAATAAAATCCTGAAAATATTTAACAGGGAGGATAGGAAATATCTTTATTGTTCTACAGAGTAAAGCCATCACACCAACCCCATCCTCCTCTGAAGAAGTACACTTTGCTCTTGACTGTTCAGGACGTGATAACTGGCAAGCTCCAAAGTGAAGGTTGCTGAGCCTGATGTTAGAGAACGCAAAACTGTTGAGTAGCCCTGAACAAAAGGGAGAACACATCACTCAGTTTAGGATAAAGAAAAGGTAAGTTAGCATAGAACACTACTTAGGTCACACACAGAGTGTCAGAAGCATACTGCAACATACTAGTAAGTTAATTTTTTAATATTGCGATACATGCATGAGTCCACCTCCTAATATACTTTTTAAAAAAACCCTATTATCTGTAAAACTTGTTTCTGTGACTTACAGCTGAGAACATGCTGGCTTTACAATCTAAATCCAGCATAAAAACACTACTAGATTTGCGGGCACTTGCTTCAGAGCATCAGTTATTAAAATATGATAAAAGACATCCATTCCAAACTTACTCATCCATAAGAGAAAAAGTGAACTGAAGCCTAATTATTTTTAGGTATATAAAAAAAATCAGATTTGCATTTTACCATCTTTTACCATCAGATAATCACATACCATCACTTCTGCTAGTGGAACAGCAGCAACCACAACTCTGTTATCTTGACGACTCTGGATTTCCTGAATACTACCTCTCCGCTGTGCAAGGTCAGCGAGTGCTGCACTGAGATGATCTTCACTTACTGTGATTTCTAGGTTCATCAGGGGTTCCAGTATTTGTATACCACCTTTTTTCAAAGCCTACATGGAAGGGAAGGAGAGTTATGTTGACTACCTTCTTATATTCTTGTTAATAGAAAACTGACGTAATAAGCACTTCATAAGACAAGCTAACCCTGCTTCCCAAATTCTCTGCTTCTGAAAGCTTAAAGTCGTCCCCAGTGAGGGCATTCCCCTGTCAGAGAAGAACAATTACCTGATACTGATATATATTTTCCCAGTAGTATACCACACTACTGTGTTCTGTGGCAGCTTACAGTTTTGCTGTACCTTTTGCATACAACGGGAGACACAGGCTGATACCATCGTGTGAGAGGTGTCGGGATTCACCGTTAGTGATTGCACTGTCACATCTACAGCCTGAACTGGGAATCCAAGCAAAGGTCCTGGGGGGGATGGGGGGAATAAAAAAAAAGCACATTTGCCTTTCAGAATACTAAGCCACAGGCAAAAAGTTTCAGGATTAATTTGGAGTTTCTGACTTTCCTCTTTTCCCTCTTCTTCCCCTTTAACCTCACAGGGGCATGACCACTGGTCTTGTGGCTTATTTTGTGGTTTTGTCATTACATACCTTTGCCAAAAGGGTAAAGGAATGCAAACTCATACTTTCTACTCTTTACCAAGAGCACAGATAATCTGCAGAACCAGAAGTTCCCAAGTGTCTTAATCCACACAACCATTCCCAAAAATGAAATTATTTTTAATACCATTATAATATCTAAAACTTGTCTGTTGAAACAAGACCTTATTTGAAAAAGTAGTGAAACCTCCTGTTTAACCAGAAGCCTGAATATCTTCTGTATTTTCCTTCTCAACACAAAGTGATCACAGCAAAGCCTGAGACTAATCCACTACCTAAACTGTAGGGTTAACACAATTCCATGAGGGATGAAGTGTCCTGTTTCTCCCTCCAATCTCTCAACCAGACCAAAAACTGTATTAGACTGGATGGGGGGCCTGAACCACATTTGAGAAAAAAAAACCACAGTTTTTTCTATAGAGAACTTGGCCAGGTTTGTTTGTTTATCGTATTTATTTATTTTTACTATTTATTCTTATCTCTTACACCAGATTAAAAAGCAAACCAAAGGAATCTCAAGCTCACTGTTGAGTGACTAAGAAATCAAACTTAAAACCAAAGGCATGCTGACTTCCATGGCAGAGGGAAAGGGGTGTTTGACAATTTTTGTAGTGAAGGAAATGTCAGAATTTTCCTTTACATTTAATGTTAATAGGTACTGTCTTTTAGTTTTCAAGCTACCAAGGAGTTTTTCATCCTAGGAATATATTGAACTGCTCCTGATGGAATGTTATACCTGTGTAGCTGTCACAGCACTTCTTTACCTTGAATGCATGAATTCATTATTCCGTTTTCTATAGCACCTTTGAGTTCTTTGGGTAGCACTTCAGTGACACTTGCAGCATACTCGATGATGGGTTTTGTCATTGCTTTCTCCCCTAACCTGGGCCTCACCTCTAATTCCACAGTTACAAAGTGTCGTTTATCTCCTATTGTTTTGTCCAATATATCTGCAAGGGGAAAAAAGAAGCAAAACAACCATTTGGAAAAAACCCTAATACATAAAATTCATCTGAAAGTTACTCATAAGATCATTTAAAATAAATGAAGTTACAAAACCAGAAACAAGATCTTCCTTCCATTCACTCATTTTACCTGTAGCTTGGGAAGCATTTAGGATGGTTTCTCTGTATGCTATTTGAAGAGGTCCCAAATAAGTTTCAATTCCATATTCACGTTTGATTCGGTCATGAATTATCTCTATGTGTAGTTCTCCCATGCCACAAAGAATAGTCTAGTAAGAAGAGTTAAGGGAAAAAATATGTGGAACCTAGAGTTCTAATACAAACTGTTGAAGCAAGGACTTGAATGCTTTTAACAATCTCTTAGAAATATTTCTAATTCTAAGGAGCCTATAGAGAAAATAGGACTGCTTTAGATCATCTGACATAAACACCAAGTGAGAGGGTAATTACCGTTGCTGTGGCCACTATAAAAAAGGTCATCTTACATTATCTTAAAGACTATGTAATTCGAACATTTTTACATACAGAACTGTCAAAAACATGGAGAGTACAAGATGACTTCCTCTACTCTGTAAAGTAGTAGTTCCTCTACTCCATTTTAGTTTGACGCACAGAACTTTATATATATATATATGATATAAACATCTACTGAAAATTCAATAAAATCTCAGTATGTAAATAAACTAACTGAGGACTGGTCTTGACAGCTCTAAAATAAAGCTTGGTTATGAGGTAAGCAATAGAAGATTCATCTTACTTGTCGTGTATCTGGATCTAGCTTCACTTTTAAACTTGGATCTTCACGCTGAAGGCAGCTCAATGCATTATCCAAGTCTGTTCATAAATATCAAACATTTTATGTAAAGAGACCTTAGTAATTTGAGAATCACAATGACTGTTTACACTGCACTTCCTCATAAGGTCAAATCTTAATCTCAGAAGAAATCAAAATTACTCTAGAGAAGCATAGATTTTAGCAAACAAAGTCAACTCAAATTACAAGCAACTTGCAACTTCTGATTCTCTCCAACAAATTAACTGCATGCTACACAGAGCTTTAATTTAATTATCATAAATACTATTTTCAGAGTGCTGTTTTGTACTTGTATGAAGACAGAATGGAAACTCTAAGTGCCTCATTGAATTAGTAAAAAGTACTTTTACAGATAAGAAAAACTCTCAGCTAACACATCTATGATTTGCCTAAATATTTCAAGATGAGTTCATTAAAAACTTCAAATGCAAATTATTTTTTTCTGATTCTCCATTACCTTAACTGCTGAAGAAACCAGCTACAGAATGAAAAACTCACAGCTGAAACTGCATTTATCTACCTTACACTCTTTGGGGGGGAAAAAGAAACTCTCACATTAACCAGGTGTGCATGGACTGGGGACAAACATTGTTTCTTACACATGTGGATATGGTTATGCTTGAATATCTCATTTGTAGAGTATTTTATCATATTCTTAGGCAGCTACATTGTACCTTGTTGTTTGGCCATTGAAGGAGGCTCAATTGTACAGAAGAAGACAGGGTCAGGGATCTCAACACCTGCCAGCAGAAGGCTCTCTCTGGCACTGGTAGACCTCTTCTCTCCCCCAGCATCCCTTCCAGCTCTGCGAGCTGCAGCTACTGCTGCAGCCTTTGATGACACTATGGTGTCTCCAGTGGCACTCTACAGATCAACAACCAGTGACCCACAAGACACAGGATGGGGAGAGGAGTGGATAGGAAAAACAGCCAAAACA